TTTTAAAAAAAAAAAAAAAAAAAAAAAAACATGGGAAACACTAAACAATAATATACAATATATTTAGCTAAAATCTTTATCCAAACAAAGATTTTCTTTTGTTCTTATATTTATTTTCTGAGATCTGTCGAAATGGATTTATGGAATCCGCGGGACCGAAAACAAACGTGGCTTCATGATCTTCATCCCCTAAAGAACAACTCACATGCTTCCCATCCGATTCTCCAAAACCCCATTTAAAAAAATTTCCCCTCCATTGATAACAGTAAAAAAAAAATTTCAAAAAGGCCAGGAATCCGTGTTTTTCTATACCAAACAAGAACAACCCATGAAATTCTCTGCTCAAAACGCCAAGATCCCACGATTTCCCCCCAAAATCCCCCTCTCCGGCTAGGTTTTTACCAGTTTATACTCCAAATCTATACTCCCCAGAGCCCCATTTGGCCATTTCTGTGCACCCCTTTGAGCCCCTTTCCTGCTCGTTCAAGCAAGCGGCTGCAGTACATATACATCCATAATCGTTAGCTTTAAATGCAATCAATGGCCCCACAACTACATGCTTAACTCTTTTTTTTGCCTCTTCTTCTTCAAATATTATATTGTTTTTCTGTTGATCTTCGCTTCATTCCCTCTCCCCATGTCTTAGATTCAGTATTTTCTTCCATTTTTCAAGATTTGAGCGATTTCCCTGTTCTGGGTTTCTTGTTTTTTGTGTTGGTTTTGCCTCTTTTGGGTTTGGATTATGATCCATCATCACCTCTCTGTTCTATCTCTTTTGGTAATGAACTGGGTGTTATAGATTAGGGGTGAGTAATTTTAGAGGCTATAATGGTTGGAACGCCGACTAATGGAAGGGCTCGGTTGGCCTTCTCGGTGGTTAACGGTGGACAGGAGCTTTGTCTTACTAGTACTCCGACGAGCATTGCTGGCTCTGATTACGGTGGCATTGAGTTCACTAAAGAAGACGTCGAGGCTCTGTTGAATGAGAAGCTTAAAAGGAAGGATAGGTTTAATCTTAAGGTCAGTCCCTCATTTTCAGAGCTGATACCATTTTTTCTTAGATCAGTTCAAAGGGTTGCTTGAATTTGAGAAGTTCTTGGTGGCTATGGCATTCTTTGATGATACCCTTTTGTTGGCTTTCAGGAAAAATGTGATAACATGGTTGAATACATTAAAAAGCTTAAACAATGCATCAAATGGTTCCAAGAGCTTGAATATAGCTACTTATTAGAGCAGAAGAAGCTACAAGATGAGTTGGAGTCCTCTGAGATCAAGTTCAGTGAAATGGGTATCTTCAAGATCTTGTGTTCTTGATGTTTTGTATGATTGTTAAGCCATTTTTGCTTTTTATTGAGCGTTTTTTTGTTGTTGTTTGTATTTGTTTTTTTGATAGAGATGATAGTGAAGAAGAAAGAGGAAGAATTGAATTCGATTGTCGTGGAGCTTAGGAAGAACAATGCTTTTTTGCAAGAGAAATTCACGAGAGAAGAATCGGATAAGTTGGTAAGCTTTGTATCGTGCTTTTGAGTGTTAGTGTTGGAAGTCTTGTTGTGTTTTGAAATCCCACGTCGGTTGGGGAGGAGAACGAAACATTCTTTATAAGGGTGTGGAAACCTGCCCTAATGTTTTAAAAACCTTGAGGGGAAGCCCGAAAGGGAAAGGACAGTATCTGCTAGCGGTAGGCTTGGGCTGTTACAGTGTTGCTTAGATTTTGATTGTCACTGTCAGGCTGCAGTAGAATCTCTCACCAAGGAGAAAGAGGCTAGGTTGATCATGGAGAGGTCACAGGCTTCAGCCTTTGAGGAGCTTGCAAGGGCTCAACGTGAGCTCTCGAGTGCGAATCAAAAGGTAGAATCGGAACCGAACTGATCAATGTACGAAAACACAACAAATGTTCTGACATTGACTTGTGGGAATTCTGCAGATATCGTCTCTTAACGAAATGTACAAGCGGTTGCAAGATTACATTACTAGTTTACAGCAATATAACGGCAAACTTCATACGGAGCTTTCGACAGCTGAAGATGACCTCAAACGCGTAGAGAAGGAAAAAGCTGCCATGGTGGAGGATCTCGGTATGATCAAGGGTGAACTTGCTCTATCTAAAGTGAGTATCGTTTCTATAAGATTCATCGAGCATTTTTACGGTCTGTCGTGAACCATCAATATCTGGATTGTGATTATAGGCTTCTCAAGACGAAGCAGTAAAGCAAAAGGATGCTATGATGAACGAAGTTACGTGTTTAAGAAGAGAAATACAACAGGTTCGAGATGATCGAGATCGTCAACTATCTCTGGTTCAGAATTTGTCGGACGAAGTAGAGAAGTGCAGGGAGTCTGCGGGAAAGTACTGCGAGGAGCTGAACGAAATGAAGGAAAAAACAAATGAATTAGAGGTTCTTACATTGATCCTTATTTGTTTAGAGGTCGGAATTTAGAAGTCGTTTAATGATCTTCGAGTTCTTTTACAGGCAACGTGTTCTTCACAAAGTATCGAGCTAAGAACATTGCAAAATCATCTAGCTGCTGCAGAAAACAAGCTGCAGGTTTGTAAACGACTTCGAAGACATCAAACTAGTTATTTTACGCTGAAAGCGTTTAACGTTAAGATGATTAAGTGGGTTTTGCATTTCTCGTGCTAGGTCTCTGATCTAACTGCGATGGAGACGATGCATGAATTCGAAGATCAAAAGAGGCTCGTACGTGAGTTACAACAACGACTTGCCGATGCCGAAAATAAGCTTATGGAAGGAGAGAAGCTTCGGAAAAAATTGCACAATACCATCTTGGTAATGCCAATGTTCTTGTCAACCAATGTATTGTTGTTACTCACTTGGCTCTTTTGTAATACAGGAATTGAAAGGGAACATTCGTGTATTTTGTCGAGTACGACCTCTGTTACCTGATGAACGTTCTAGTCCCGAAGGAAATTTTATCTCGTATCCGTCGTCGGTGGAATCTCTTGGACGAGGGATTGATCTCGTGCAAAATGGTATACTTCTTATGAACAATATTCATGCCTACCGTATTGTTTTCGTATGATACGTTGCCCTCGAGCTCTCGTAATTCAATGTGATATTGAATAATGTCAGGACAAAGACATTCTTTCTCATATGACAAGGTTTTCGCTCCAGAAGCTACACAAGAAGACGTCTTTGTAGAGATTTCCCAGCTCGTTCAAAGTGCCCTCGATGGATATAAGGTAATAATATAGCATCATCGAAGGATTTATTTCGATATTTTGACCGATTTTCTTGAATAATCGGAGCAATATCTACCAACTTTTGACAAAAGACCAAAAAACGAACCTGAATGGTCGATGAAAATAGTTTAGGAATCCGATTCGGGCACATGTGTTGTAACAGCCCAAGCCCACCGCTAGCAGATATTGTCCTGTTTGGGCTTTCGCTTTCGGGTTTCTCCTCAAGGTTTTTAAAACGCGTCTGTTAGGGAGAGATTTCCACACCCTTATAAGAAATGCTTCGTTCTCTTCCCCAACCGATGTGGGACCTCACAATCCACCTCCCTTCAGGACCCAGTGTCCTCGTTGGCACTCGTTCCCTTTTCCAATCGATGTGGGACCCCCCAATCCACACCCCTTCGAGGCTTAACGTCCTTGCTGGTATACCACCTCGTGTCCACCCCCCTTCCAGGCTTAGCCTCCTCGCTGGCACATCGCCCGATGTCTAGCTTTGATACCATTTGTGACAGCCCAAGCCCACCGCTAGCAAATATTGTCATTTTTAGGTTTCCCTTTCAGGCTTCCTCTCAAGGTTTGTAAAACGCGTCCACACCCTTATAAAGAATGCTTCGTTCTCCTCCCTAACCTATGTGGGATCTCACAATCCACCTCCCTTCGGAGCCCAGCATCCTCGATGACACTCGTCCCCTTCTCCAATCGATGTAGAACCCCCCCCCCCATCCACCCCCTTCGGTGCCCAGTGTCCTTGCTGGTACACCGCCTCGTGTCCACCCCCTTTCAGGCCTAGTTTCCTCGCTGGCATATCACCCGGTGTCTAACTCTAATACCATTTATAATAGTCCAAGCCCACCACTAGCAGATATTGTCCTCTTTGAGTTTTCCCTTTCAGCCTTCCCGTCTGGAGAGGTTTCCACACCCTTATAAAGAATGGTTCGTTCTCCTCCCCAACCGACATGGGATCTCACGTGTGCACACCTAAACTTATATTCATCACTGTTAAAAGATTGCTTTCTGCAGCATATTAATTCAATACAATTGAGTTATTTCATCAGACTGTTTCAAGTTCATTAGTGAATGCTATTTCTGTTAGGTTTGCATATTCGCCTATGGACAAACGGGTTCGGGAAAAACCTATACGATGATGGGTCGACCAGGGCTCCTCAAGGAGAAGGGACTGATACCTCGATCGTTGGAACAAATATTTCAAACGAGACAATCTCTTCAACTCCAGGGTTGGAAATATGAAATGCAGGTGAGAAAGAAAGAACATCTATTGTATGTGTCTCTTCTGTTGTCATATTCTAGAACATTTTTGTTGAACTTCTCAACGTCTTCTAGGTATCGATGTTGGAAATATACAACGAAACGATCTATGATTTACTATCAACAAATCGAACAGCTCCAGACGTGCTACGATCAGAAAATGGTTCTCCTATAAAACCGTATGCAATCAAACACGATGCAAGTGGAAATACTCAAGTTTCGGATCTTACAGTCGTGGATGTTCATAGCGCTAGGGAGGTCTCGTTTCTATTAGAGCAAGCTTCTCGGAGCAGGTATAGTAACTTTTGCATTCATATGGACTTCCCACTAATGCTCTTAACCTGCAATGCACAATGCTCACTTTTTCGACGTAGCTACATACGTTCCGATTCGTATGTTATTTTCGACATAATGATGTCTGTGAGATCCCACATCCGTTGGAGAGGAGAACGAAACATTCTTTATAAGGGTGTGGAAACCTTTCCCTAGGGGAAGTTCGAAAAGGAAAGTCCAAGGAGGACAATATCTGCTAGCGGTGGGCTTCGGCTGGTACAAATGGTATCACAGCCAGACACCAGGCGATGTGCTAGTGAGGAGGCTGAGCCTCGAAAGGGGGGTGGACACGAGACGGTGTGCCAACAAGAACGTTGGGCTCTGAATAGGGGTGGATTGGGAGGTCCCACATCAGCTGGAGAAGGGAACGAGTGTCAGTGAGGACGTTGGACGTTGAAGGGGGGTGGATTGTGAGATCCCACATCGGTTGAGGAGGAGAACGAAACATTCATTATAAGGATGTAGAAACCCTTCCCTAGTAGACACGATTTAAAAATGTTTAGGGGAAGCCCGAAAGGAAAAGCCCAAAGAGGACAATACCTGTTAGCGGTGGGCTTGAACTGTTACAGTGTCGTTGCTTATTTATCATCAAGCCTCACCGCAAGTATTCCATGTTTACTTGATAGGCGTTCCTCTTAACTGCATTGTATTTTTTTTTCCCTTAGATCCGTTGGCAAAACCCAAATGAACGAGCAATCATCAAGAAGTCATTTCGTGTTCACACTCAAAATATCCGGTATCAACGAGGTAAATTACGGTCGATCACCATTTATAATTCGAAATGGTTCCTCTACTCCAAAGTTATCCATGAACTCGCTCTAATGATTTTGCATTCGCTAGAGTACCGATCAACAAGTACAAGGCATTTTGAACTTAATCGATCTTGCCGGGAGCGAGCGTCTTTCCAAGAGCGGGTCAACCGGAGATCGACTGAAAGAAACCCAAGTAATTCATTGCTACTCTCATATCTTAGTTTTAAATTCCGCTCATAATCTTTTAATTTTCTTGTTTGAAATTAGGCCATAAATCGAAGTTTATCGTCTTTAAGCGATGTTATATTTGCTTTGGCGAAGAAGAAAGAACACGTTCCATTTCGAAACTCGAAGCTTACCTATCTTCTTCAGGTACCTGTTCATTCATAAATCCGTGCTCTTAGACTGTATCTGGAATGTCTTTTTCTCATATAATCATTCTAATTCTAGCCATGTCTGGGCGGAGATTCGAAGACGTTGATGTTTGTAAATATCTCTCCTGATTCGTCCTCGGCCAGTGAGTCACTCTGCTCGCTTCGCTTCGCTGCCCGGGTTAACGCTTGTGAGATTGGTACTCCTCGACGTCTAACCAATACTCAATCTTAAGATTTATGCTCGAGATTTGCCGAATCGATAGTGAAATATGAGAATGATTCTGACTTAGGCTTAGTTGTGTATAGCAAAAGAGATCTGATTGTATTAATGAAATTTAGATCTTTTTCCCCTTTTAATTATCAAATCTTGCTGCAAATTGTGGTTCTTGTTTGCCCGATCGGCACCGTCCCGGTCAGTACCGTCTTGCTTTCCTCCTAGGACAAAATCCAGATAGTTGAGCTATAATTTGTGATACTCACAGGACGCTGGGTCCCGAAGGGGTGTGAGATTGGAGAGGGGAATGAAACATTCTTTATAAAGGTGCAGAAATGGCTCCATAGTAGATGCATTTTAAAACTGAGGTTAACAGTGAGGGCCAAAGTGGACAATATCGGCTAGTGGTGGCTCGGGTCGTTACAAATGGTATTAGAGCTAGACACTAAGTGGTGTGCAACGAGGACACTGAGCCTCGAAGGGAGGTAGATTGTGAGATCCCACATCGGTTGGAGAAAAGAACGAGTGTCAGTGAAGACGTTGGGTCTTGAAGGGAGGTGAGATTGTGATATCCCACATCGGTTGGAGAGAGGAACGAAACATTCTTTATAAGGGTGTGAACCTCTCCCTAGTAGACGCGTTTTAAAATCGTGAGGCTAACGGCGATTCATAATCCAAAGCTGACAATATCTGTTAGCGGTGAGCTTAAGTTGTTACAAATGATATTAGAGCTAGTCACTGAGCGGTGTGCCAGCGAGGGCACTGAGTCCCAAAGGAGGGTGTATTGTGAGATCTCATATCGGTTGGAGATGGAAACGAGTGTCAGCCAGGATGTTGGACCTCAAAAGGAGTAAATTGTGAGATCCTGTATCGGTTGGAGATGAGAACGAAACATTCTTATATAAATGTGTGGAAACATTTGTGTAATAGATGCATTTTAAGATCATGAGGTTCACGACAATACATAACGTGCCAAAACGGACAATATCTATGTCGGCTGGTGGTGAACTTATACGCTCTCTATATTTTATATTTCTAAAATTTAAAAATAGATTCCCGAAGAGAAAATAAAATATAAGTTTTTTGAAATTAGAATTCAAACAAATTCCAAAAAGCCTTTTCATGGTTCCAATAAGGGCACACATGCCAATGCGACAATATTTCGTCTCACCTCTCTGTCGATTTTCCGCCACCCGCAACCCTCCAAGAATGTTCGATGTTTGAGCCTGATCATCATTCCAGCTCTCTCTCGCTTGTCATTTTTGTTTCTACTGATGCGATGGGGCGATTGGATCACAGAAAACAACTACCATTTGGAGCTTGCCATGGTTGACAACACTTGCCATTCGCCTATAAGGTGTTTGATGAAATGACTCAATGAATTTTCACTCACACTTTTGAGATTCTGTCTCTTGGGTTTCACTTTGATGCTTTTTGGTGATTGTTTGTTCACTTTCGTTTGTGGGTTTTAAGTTTTATAAAGAGATGCCTTGCTTAACATATTGCTAAAACTAAAAATGCATGCTGTTTTGTTGTCTTCACTGTGTGACTTGTTAAGATTGAAGCCTAAACCATTCATTATTGATTTTTGAATGGAGTATGAACAACATTAGTTGCTGTGGTAAAACATAGATGACCCGTATTGTTTATAGCTTCATTTGAGAAGTTTAAGAAAAATTGAGGTGCATATAGATTAAGTTGACAAAGATAAATTATTTGTTGAGATGGTCACAATCTAATTGATAATTTTTATCGTTAGTAAATTTAATTTATATCTAGTAGGTATGCAAAATCCTTAATCCACGTTCAACAATGAATACAAAACAACCATAATGTGACAGCCTTGTCGAATAGTTTGTTATCAATGAGACAAAAAGTGTACATGAAAAAAAACTCGTCTTAATCTTCACATTAGATCCGTGTTTCTTGTGTGTTTTTCTTCCTTCTTTTTCCATTTCATACGCCTCTTTAGAACAACTTTTACAGTTCTCAATATTCTAGAGAACCAAAAGATGGAAGGAGTATAAACGGATAGAACTTTTCTCTATGTAACTTCCTTAATTTTTGGTCCAAATCATGAGAAGACAAAGACAAAAGTTAAGACATGAGAGAAGGTTAATCATTATCAAGATGACCATGGAAGTGGATAAGCATGGTCCCTTCCTCTCTGTGGGTCCCGACCGTTAGAGACTACATTCAGCCTTCATATCCAGTCAAATTATGGTAACCCAATAATCAGAAAGCTACAAGCAGCTAAGGTACCCACAGGTTTGTAGCTTATCTTCATCCTTTATAAACTATATTTACTTCATAACTCAATCAACAGAAGAAGATCAAGGAAGGGGGAAGAAGAAGACATGGAAATACAGAAGAAGATTGTGAAGAAGACAAGGGTAATCAAAGTTAGCTCAGAGGAATCATGGGATTGTTATGTTACAAAAGCTTTCAAACAAGGCTGCCCTGTGAGTCCTTCCCTTACTTTTCATATTTATACTCTTAGTTCAATGTTTGGTGAATTCAGTAATGTGGAAATGAATGTTATCCAAGGTATAAAGGTTGAAATGATGTTCATTTGGAATAATATTGCAGGTTGTAGTGCATTTTAGTGCGAGCTGGTGCACACCCTCAAGAGCCATGAGCCCTTTCTTTGAAGAGCTGGCCTTGCAATACAAATATGTTTTGTTTCTTTCCGTGGATGTGGATGAAGCTAAGGTAATTTTGATAATGGAAGCTAATGTGGATTATCTCGGATATTTAACTTCATCTTAGGCTCGAGTTTGTGTGGAGAAGATATGAAAAAGAATTAACTAAGTAGAAAATATGGTTTTTGATCGATGGGAGTTCTTGTTTGTGTAATGATAAATCTTCTCGAGAGTAGATAAATGTGAGATCTCATATTGGTTGGAGAGGGGAACAAAGCATTCTTTACAAGAGTGTGGATACCTCTTTCCTAGCAGACGCGTTTTAAAACCATGAGACTGATGACAATATGTAACAGGACAAAGCAAACAATATTTACTAGCGGTGGGCTTGGACTATCATAAATGGTTTCAGAGCAAGACAATGTGCCAGTGGGTTCCCAAGGGAGATGGTTTGTGAGATCCCATATTGGTTGGAGAGGCGAACAAAATATTCTTTATAAGGGCGTGTAAACCTCTCCCTAGCGAACGCGTTTTAAAATCGTGAGGCTAACAATAATACGTAACGGACCAAAGCAGACAATATTTGCCAGCGGTGGGCTTGGGCTATTACAAATAGTATCAGAGCCAGATACTGGTGGTGTGCTAGTGAAGACGTTGAGTCTCCCAATGAGGTGAATTGTGAGATCCCACATTGGTTGGAGAGGGGAACAAAACATTCTTTATAAGGAGTAGAAATCTCTCCCTAGCAAACACGTTTTAAAACTGTGAGATTGACAACGATACGTAACGAACTAAAGCGGACAATATCCACTAGCGGTGAGCTTAGGCCGTTACATAACTTAGAATGATTAAGAATTTGTTTGATAATGTTTTCTTTGATCTAAAATTCTTTTATCATACAACTATAAACAGGAGGTTGCATCGAAGTTGGAGATAAAGGCCATGCCCACATTTGTATTGATGAAGAATGGAGCCCCAAACTATAAGCTTGTTGGAGCCAACCCAGTTGAGCTGAGTAGAAGGATCAAGGGCTTCATATATTGCTAAGTATCAAAAGACACCAAGAATCACCTTTGCCTTCAGCCTTAAAACCATTCAACTTTTAAGTTCATATTTCTTCAATTCTTGGTGGTATTGTTATTGTCTCTTAGTTTTTGGAGAATGAATTACTTCCCACATAATATGATCCAAATGGGTTTCTATTTGGGTCATTTTCTTTTTAGTTCAACGTAATAGTTCGAATCGTATAAGAGCAATTCTAAAGATAGAGTGACTAAGAAAAGTTTAAAAGAATTGAAAGTCGTTACCTATACTAACAAGGTTCACTTCCCTTTTTGGTGACTCAATCATAGGAACTTCGTGATTAAACGTGTTTTACTTGGAGCAATTTTATGTTAGTTGACCTATTAAGAATTTATGTGAGCAAGGATAAAACATGTTGGAAGGACTCGTGTTGGTCTGTCGTGATAGTTTTAGATAACCTAAATCCTGGGACTATTATAAACGTATAAATATGAACATAACTCAGAAACATTAAAATCTCTGCCTTGGTTTTTATAAAACACTACACACTAAAGCTGCATGAATGATGTTATACATGATGTTGATATGTCTTAAAATAATTCTAATTTCGTTTATGTTATATTTTTAGTCTTAAATGACTAGAATATTTGAATATATCACTTTTTAGTCAATGATATATATTTTAATTAGTTGAACTATGCTTAAGTTGACTATCCTAAATATTAATAAAAGTAAAAAACAAATATTAAAATTCAATCAAGGGTGTCTCCGGCTCATTATAGCCACCGTCATTCAAGTGGAGTCCCATCCCAATATCCGTTCATCATCGATCACCTCAAACAAGAGAAAAAGAAAAGGAAGTTTAGAACTAAGAGCCCATGTTTTTTTCGACATTGTCCTACGATTAATCTAATATACTTCAAATGACTTTAAAAAATTGTGTTGAAATGACTTAAGAAACGTTTTTTTCAACTCTTTCCTCTTAGATGTCGGGAATCATTGTGGGTGGTTGTAGTAGTTATCGCTCATAAGAGTAGCGTTTAAAGCCCGTTTGTGGGTGCAGTTGTAGTAGTTTTCACTCGTGATAGTAGCGATTAAAGCCCGTTTGTGGGTGCGGTTGTAGTAGTTGTCGCTCGTAAGAGTAGCATTTAAAGCGTGTTTGTAGGAATGGTTGTAGTAGTTGTTGCTCTTGAGAGTAGTAAATATTTTGTAGCTCATATAGTTGAGCATAGCTTCGATTAAGAGATTAAAGATTTTTTATTTTTTATTTTTTATTTTTTCTATGTATTTGGATGACGTGTCCCTCCCAATGGATCCCAATATGGCCGATCATCTGCCACCAGTACCGCCAAATCCCTAATCTTCTACAAATTTTATCGTCCCCAATTTTCTCTCTTCAATCGCCCGAGCCCTAACCCTAACTCCGGTCCTGTAATTTTCCTTCATTTATCATTCATCGTTTCTTCTAATTTTTCTGACCGGAAAATTTGAAAATTTTCCGGTGATCCCACGTTTTTTTGTAATTGTTTGAGAAATGGTATCCGCTGAAAATCCAAATTGGTTGTTTGATTATAGTTTGATCGACGACACCCCTGTACCGAATGCGAATTTTCCGGTCACGAGTTCAAGCTTCTCCTGGGCTGTTCAGCCCTTTAATGGCTTCCCTGATGCCGGGTAATCTTCAGATCCCTCTCAGTTACTCTTTTGAGCTTGTTTTTATTTTTCTTATCGAGCCTAAATAGGGTTTGTTGCATCGAATGGTCGTTTATTTTGTGTGTACTTTATATTGGGGGAAGACAATACTTTCCGGATTTTCGTGGACAATCACATATCTCCACAATAGTATGATAGTGTCCACTTTGAGCATAAGCTCTCGTAACTTTGCTTTGGGCTTCTCCCAAAAGGCGTCGTACTAATGGAGATGTATTCCTTCACTTGTAAACTCATGATCATTCCCTAAATTAGCCAACGTGGGACTCACTCTCAATAATCCTCCACAGAAGTATGGGCGTGGGAGGTGGACTGGCCCTTTTATTGCTGTCCAGAATAATTTTCGAGATTATTTCTTTTAAGCAAGATTTCAAACTTGTTTTAAAGATTTTTGGATGGAGTTAGTAATTGGTTCAGACGTCCTACTTATGACATGAAGATTGAGAGATTTTGGGGAATGGTGTATAGATACTATACTTCTAATTCTGTTTGGTGAGAAGTATCACATCGTTGACCGAATTGATTTAGTATCGATGGGGTTGATAGGTGTAAACAACAAGACGTTGGGGGTATGACTATACCAAGAACTATTTGTTGTTGTGTTTTTGGAAACTGTAAGACTGTAAGGATGATGAGCCAAGGATGTCATACCATTGTGCATCTTGGCTTCTATGTTTGTATATGCTCACTTCTTTCTCCTTTGATGTTATTCTAGTGTGGAAATTGATGGATCATTGGCAGATTTGGATGGCCGTCTAGAATCTGGCTCAAAGAAGAGGTATGAAACCTTCATTATTACTTTCTAATTTGGTCTGTTTGATAGAATCGGAGGCTTTTTGATATGGAAATCAACCCAAGGGAAAGTATGGAACGGATTACCTTGATGATCAAGATCAAGAGTAAAGAAAACTCGTTTCTAAACTCGTGATTCGAATCACTCCACAAGAGGTTTGATCAATACCACTTGAATGACTCTACATGCAAGTTCTAAACACAAGAATTTGCAAAGAAAGTTTAGCTCTCAACAAAGCTAAAATAGAAATTCTATTCTTAATTCCAAAATCTGAACTCTAATCAAAGAAAAGAAGGCTTTGCCTTTACAACCTTAACCTATGTCATACATAACTCCCAAATTAAATGGGCTAGTAAATGAGAAATACCTATAACCTCCATATTAAAATGGCTAGTTAATGGTGGAATATAGTAACCTATGTGCTTAACTCCTATATTTAAAACTAGCATTAATATGACAAACAAATAGTTAAAGTATAATTAAATAATGCAATGAATAAAATGTGCTTATTAGTCATCCTTGGATTAGTTTCATAAATTCAGCGGAGTTCATTAAATGCAACTTAAAGTGCATTTAATTCATCTGAACCTCAACTTTGCCCAACATATAAGGGAGGTCTCTAGCGTCTTCTAGAATTTCCTTTGATGAGCTCACTATAGCTTGAATATAACTGTATAAGGTTTGTTGTAGCTTCTTGACTCTCGTCCTTGTAATTGGACCTTGAGGTATGGAAATTCCTTGGTCATGGTTCATATCACTTTTGCCTTGTAATAGGTTTGAATGTCTTTCCATAACAAGAATCTGGGACTTTGAGATCATTAGAAATATCTCAGGACTATTGTTATTGTCACAAGTAGAGCTGCATGGTTTGAATGAATCATCAGACTTGACTTCAGGATCTCTCGGTGTTTTAATTGACTTTCAGGAAGCATTTTGATTAGTCATCACTTGTAATTTTGAGTTCCTTTAATTTAAATTCCCCAGAAGTTTGTATCAAGGTTATGTTTTAATGGCCTCAAAATTAGGCGTACAGGCTAAGCTGATCTCTTTTAGTGGTTGGGGGTAATATAAGGGTGCTATTGCGTGTTTTATGACTGATGGAATTTAAGTCTCTAATGTTTTTGTTGAGATGTGAGGCATGTGCACAGTGTCACGGTCGTCTGGGGATCACAACCTACTTTCTCTCAGTGAGATTTCGTTATTGGTTATGAGTTAACTGGATAGCGGAGAGCATTTGGTGGTTTGGTGGCTTTGATGGGAGTTAGTGATGTAGCTTTGATCCTTCGTTCAATCTTTTGATTGTTTTTGGTTTGTATTGTAATTATTATATTGCATAGAGTTGAAAGTTTCAAGTTGGTATTGCATTTATGATTTAGTAAAGGCTGTGGATCCATTTGTTTACTTTCATGAATGTTCTCCGAGGTGAAATTTGGCTAAACATGTTAAATATATTGAGCTGATTTAAGTAAGCCTAGATAGAGTAAGTATGGCATCAAATAAATTTCACGTTTTCTGCTGCAGGGTCAGATCTGAATCATGTAGTGCATCAAGCTCCAAAGCATGTAGGGAGAAATTTTGGAGGGACAGGCTCAACGACAAGTACTTCCCCTGACCCGAACCAATGGGCAATCATTGCACATTTGCCCGTTCTTCTATATTTTTTACCATTATATGTTGTCCCAACAAAAGCATAATTCTTGCAATGAATCTCATAACAGGTTTTTGGAACTAGGTTCAATTTTGGATCCTGGAAGACTACCTAAAACTGACAAGGCAGCGATTTTAGTTGACGCTGTTCGAATGGTGAATCAGTTGCGTAGTGAGGCTCGGAAACTGAAGGAATCAAATTCAAGTCTCCAGGAGAAGATTAAAGAGTTGAAGGCAAGTCTCCATGGCTTTTTTTTTATGCATTTCCATGGAGAAACCAAAACTCGTGAATGATTATACAGTTTCCTCTCTTCCTATCTCGTGTAGGCCGAGAAGAATGAGCTTCACGATGGGAAGCAGAAGCTCAAGGCAGATAAGGAGCAGCTAGAGCAGCAAGTAAAGTCCATGCCTGCTCAACCTGGCTTCTTACCTCCTCCACCAATCCCCACATTTGCTTCTCAGGGTCAAGCTCCTGGCAATAAGCTAGTTCTTTTCGTTGGTTACCACCCAGGAGTTACCATGTGGCAGTTCATGCCACCTGCTGCAGTAGACACGTCACAGGACCACGTACTCCGACCACCCGTCGCCTAACTCGGTGGCAACTAAGGTTTGCCTGAGAAAAATCATTGGCAGCATCTGGTTGCTTGACTAATATACTAGTATTTTTCTAGTTAGTAGGGCTGTCAATTGATTTTGGGGTTGGCTAATCTTATTTGTCATTGGACACTTAAGAACTCAAAGCCGTTTTGAGTTTTACAATTGTAAATGTATACAAAGAATGATCATAAAAAGTAGATTATAAAGGGAAAATGGTGTTTATAAGCTTAATTTTCGAAAAACTAGAAAAAAAAAAATACAAATGGTCATCAAAATATTAATAAAATTCTAAGGTTATTTGCTTCCTCGAGCTATCCCCTAGTGTGCATAAGAGATTTGAAACGAACATGTTACATTTACAAGGTTAGTAAGAACGTTAGTAAGAACTTAGGGACAGTGCCTCTAATTAGTGGACCTACCAAATAAAGGGAGAATTCCTGGATCAAAAAGGTCCAAGGTAAGGGGAGTAGTTTAGTTTTGTGCATCCAAGGAAGTAGCTCCCAACTCTTGTAATATACTAGAGCCCCAGGTGGCAAAGAGGTGACATCGAGGTGCTAAACCTTCCCGTCGATGTGAGCTCTTGGGGGGAAGATCAGCATGTTATCCCTAGAGTAACTTTTATCCATTGAGGGACGGTAGTCAATCCCTAAATAAAAATCTAAACCTTTTTCATGGGTCAATTTGTTGAAAGAAACCTCCGATAGGTCCTCGGTGACTAAAATGTATGCAAGGAAGGAAGTGTGTGAGATCCCAGATCAGTTGGAGAGGAGAACGAAACATTCTTTATAAAGGTGTGGAAACTTCTCCCTAACAAACGCGTTTTTACAAACTTTGAGGGAAAACTCAAAAGGGAAAGGCCAAAGAGGACAATATTTGCTACTGGTGGGCTTGGACCGTTACCGTGTGGAGGGCTATTTTGGGTATTTTGTTGGTGGTTTGTCATGGATGCTCTTGTAAGTGGGCATCCTTTTGGCAATGGTATTGTGAATAGAGGATGTGGAGACATGGGAGCTCTAGCATCCTCCTTGATATCAGAAAAGGCTCTATCAACCATTCAGCAAGGGTTAGACAAGCTAAGTTTATGACAAAACTAACAGCTTAGCTTAAGGTAAGATGGAGACCAACAACAAGAAAACACCCCTTCCAAAGATCTTCCATTCTTTGTTAGTGGGTTTCTAGTGGCCCTGTAAAAGGGAAATCATAGATAGAACAAGACGGGTCCGATACAGACCAGCACAAGAACACCATCACATTCAAATTATTCATAATATCATATCGACTATCGAAGTCAGTTCTAATGGCACGTCTATTATTTACATTACAAAACAGCTAGTTCGGAACAGAGATAATACTATAGCTGTGTTATTTACAAAGGTGCCATTAAACGAAACGCCCTTAAATGAACACTGTATCAACTCTTCTCTATATTTGCCATATACACCCATCAGTAAAACTTCCAGGAGAAACAAAAGAATGAACAGCAAACCAGAGGGATCATATTCTTATAAGACCAACACTTCATCAGCAGAATAGAATATTAACTAAAGAGATGAGAGTTGAGCAAAGTTGCTAGAATTATTTACCTCTACTCAAGCTCATCACATTGGTGGTCTTCATAATGATTCTCCACTCCCAGGCCACTTTTATGATTATTTACAGACTTGGGTTGAGACTCCATGCTTAAGCTCTCTGTACAATTATTTACATCATTAAGCTGGGTCTGTGACCTTGGGCATTCATATTCATTTACAGTGCCCTTGGTTTCTGTCACCATCTTGTAACCATGCCTACCGGTTCCTTCGGGTCCGTTTCCGATAACAGAGCCGTGAGGAATCGTGACATTCCTCCATGATTGCCTTCCATTTTCAGATCGGATAGATTTCGGGTCGCTACTACTATTTAACAACCTGAATTTCAGAGGAAAAGTTTGATGAGAAACAAAGAAACTTGCGAGCATGTGTAATAGTAGGCATTCTATTCGCGTATAATTTTCAACGACGTTCTATCTTCCTAAATAATGTAACAGCCCAAGCCCACCGCTAGTAGATATTGTCCGTCCTCTCACGGTTTTATAACGCGTCTTCTTGGGAGAGATTTCTACACCCTCATAAAGAATGTTTCGTTCTCCTCCCCAACCGATGTGGGATCTCACAATCCACCCCCCTTCGAGGCCCAGTGTCCATGCTGGCACACCGCCTTGTGTCCACCCCCTTCAAGGCTCAGCCTCCTTGCTGGCACATCGTCCGGTGTCTGGTTCTGATACCATTTGTAACAACCCAAGCCCACCGCTATCAGATATTGTCCGCTTTAGACTTTCCCTTTCGGGCTTCCCCTCATGGTTTTAAAACGCGTTTGCTAGGGAGAGGTTTCCACACCCTTATAAAGAATGCTTCGTTCTCCTCCCCAACCGATGTGAGATCTAACAGATAATGTCCGACTGAGCCGGTTATTCGAGTGTAAAAAATATGTATATGGACATATATAAGTTCAACCCTCTTCAGATTCCTTCTTAATCATGGCTCTTTTTAGCATAATCTTTTTGTTTCCTATGAGTCAATCACAAGCTGGAAAATAAAGCTCACCTTGTCTGCGGAAATTTGGGCGGCTGAAGATGGTCAAAAACTGGAATCAGGTCTTTTGACCGAGCTTCGATCATACGAGTAGGAATCCTTTCGATTTCGAGTTCTCCATAACGATCTATTTCATCTCGTTCAACTCCATCTCTTGCCATCACTTGAAAATATATCTGGTCATCAATAACAAAAGTGCAGGCATGTAAATCTCCAACGAAAAACAAAGGCCTACTTCTTAAAGACATGAATCAAACAGTAAATACCTCAGGTTTTGTCCACAGTGGAGTAAGAGCAGCATGCATCTGCAGCTCCGCTTCTGAAATATACAGGTGATATTGTTCCTCTCTACAAGTCTCTGCCTTCAAGACAGTGCCACTAGCTTCAAGAACAATAGAGTTCCCATTCATTTCTTCACAATAATTTTTCTTGCAATCAAAACCTCCGCTGTCACCGTATATGTCTATGCTATTATCTTGAGCTCGACAGTTATGCTTTTGAGATATATTCCATTTCTGGATAGGTTCAACCACTAGTCTTGCATCCAGCTCGGGGGCTAATTCAAGAGCTGTGCTAGATCTTGGCAAGACTAGAGTTGAATCTAAACCGACTCGCAATGCGTACTGTATCATATTGCCAGATGGAGAAAAAACTAATATGTCGTACCTCGCCTCAGACGATCCATTGTCTACGTGCAAAGCATTTCCCTTGCATTCATGGAAAGTTGAAGCAATAGCTCCCAAAACAATACCCACTCGACCAGTTGCAGCTGCTGCAGCACTACTGACAGTGCCCCGCCAGCCATTACTTCCATGGTGTAGTCTAGTAATTGGAGAAAGTGTAGGTGGACTACCAGTAGCACACTGGCTCTGTTTACTAGACACGCGCGAACCAGAATCAACTTGTCGAACGATTTGTCGTGCAGGAACTACAGGACTGCCATTTCTAGTAATAGAGCTAATGTCAGCAGATGGGATATTCACCTGCCCTCCAGAAGGGTTTATAGCAAAGAGATGGCTCGTCCCTCTAGAGGAACTAATCATGATCCAGTTGCTATCGTAGCTGAAACTGATGTCTTGTATGACCTGAAAATCGAACCAGAAATATGATTACAATAATAAACAATGGCTGAAACAGTCCAAAATAGAATTAAAATTGCATTACTCTTACTGCGTTAGTGAAGCCTCTTTGCAGTCTGTACAAATGGCTATAAGATGCAGATGAATCCGAGCACGAACTTGGCATAATTTTAAAAACGTTTACGCTATGACCCTGAACAGAAGCCGTTACCAAGATGATGCCACTCGGATTAAAGCATAGAGCAGAAATCGGGCTCTTATGTGCCTTAAACTGGGTGATGATCACTTTGCTGACAATGTCTTTCACAATAACCTGAAAACCAAAAATAGAAGGGAAGAACAAGATCAAACATTGTCAAGAAAAAACACTACAGAGGAAGAAAAAGAAGAAGAAGTTGAAGAAAGTAAGAAACAAACTAAAGATTAATACAGACCATTCCAACACTATCTGTATCTGCCGCATGGCCATTAAGAGCTCCAATACCCTGAGTACCTGATTGAAGAGAATTGTAGCTTTCGGGTAAGAGATCGGAGTAATACCTCGACAGTTTCTTAATACCCTTGTCACCGAGCGTAACAATGCCTGCTGCAAGTTGTTTACTCGATTCCTTTGCATAGTGAGCAACTAAACTTCCATTTGAAGAAGAATGAGAAAAACTAGCAGAAGGTTTTAAATGCTGTGGAATCACTCGTCCTGTATTTGACACCGTGATCGGACTACCACTATAAGCCAGCCATCTAGGTCCGACTGCAAGGGGTCCATAACCTATACCTCCTCCAGATCCAGGAAAACCAGAAACAACAGGATTTGTAAGAATTATATGTTCCTTCTCCAAAGTTGTAGCATTGATGCAGTGTATCTGTTGCACAAACGACTCGAATTTCTTACCAACTAAACAGTTTCCTGTTCTTTAATTGTTTAGAAACAGATTTGTGTAAGCAAACATACCTGAGTTGCCAGAGAAATGGCAACAACCAAGGGACTGCATCTCACCGAATAAACGACTGATCTAAATTTGAGCTCATCCACGTAAGTTTGGGACTTCAGCGAATAAAATCTAACAAAAGTAGGCATAAAATTCCCATCTACTAGTTCCTGGCCCTTCGAGATGGCTGCATTGCCAGAAGTGGCTAATTGATCCTGTATGTTAAAAGCAGCAGCAATGGAACCAGAAGCCGAAAGTACTAGCAATGGCCTACTTTCTGCAAACTTATCTCCTGATCTCATTGATAGTATTGGTCTGGGTAACACTTGCATGTACAAAACAGAACCATCGTAACGAGAAACAAGAACTTGGACATTATTTGCTTCCTCGACATCCCAAATCTGGAAACCGGAACGAAAACCCAACAGAAGCACCCGTCGAATGACATTGTCATCCCTCTCTAACTTGTCAAAGCCAGCCCAGTTCACCTTCATTATTTGGCAATCGAATATGAATCAATAATCACCGATTTATGAACAAAACACAGTAAAATCAAAGGGCGCTAACGTTATACAGATAAAGATGACCAGATTTATGAGTAAAGTCAAACGAAACGTTACTGATCTTGGAGATATCTACTGATACTAAAGATGCATTTAAAGCCAAAGAACATTCAGCATATAAGGATGGCAAAAAATAATTGAAATACTGAAGCAAAACTTCTTTAATTTCCAGAATTATTTCACAAAGGCTACTTCCATTGCTTCATCAATCAAGCTTTTAAAACGCAATAATCCACAGACAAGCTAACAGCTTCTGTGTTGCCTAATGAACAACTACAAGAAAAAATGGAAATAATTCCTGGGCCATCAAGAACATGGTGAGTACCATTCCAATAAGTTGTCAAAGACACATGGATGATCGATGCCTGTAAAATCATATATACCAACAGTCAGGAATACTCATTATTCCCAACTTGGCACAAAGCACGTTGCTCAGAAACTCCACGGGAATTAGTAGACGGGCCGTATTTGACCGAGAGCGAGTCTTACATACGAGCCCGAAAATTCTAAATAAGCATATAGAGAGTCAGACACCTAAGCTAAAGATAGTTGAAATACCATGGTGAATAAGAACTTAAAAACCGCCAGAAAGATAAGTAATAAACTTGTGAATGACAAGTTAGCAAATTCCCGAGTAAATTAATTACTCATCAAGATTATTTTAACTTTTCTTTCCAGATATAGAAGATGCAAGCCAACCAAGGACGAAACCAACGGGCTAGAGACTACAAGGAATCCATTTCTATACATGTGTTTTCATTGTTGAAAACTTACTCCGGTTATTTTGGTGTGGTAAAAAGTACTGGATTCACATGCTTTACTTGTTATATATGAGTTTCAAGACTAGTTTTCGAAGTAAATTATCTATGTCAGTTGGTAACTCCTGTGCATCGATCTGTCGATGAGCGGGTGTTACAAGTTGGTCGAGTGCATAAATGAGCTGCAAATGCTGGAAAAGGTTCACCAACCCATTTCCATTTTTTATGCCGTATACATGCATCAGCCTATTATGAAATTTCACCATATAACGTTTCCTCAATCACAGAAACAACTTAAAACCACAAAAACCAAAAGGGCCCACCAGAACTCATCATTGTTCCAACAAATATCATAAATAAACAGCAAATCATTATAAAATTCAAGTAGAAGCTTACCTGGGATCCTTTTGCTTCACCATCCTTATCCACCAAAGAAGATGCCACTGATGCAGCCGACCGTGCCACAGTCGAAGCACCAGAAGAAACGTTCTTCATGTAGCTAGAGAAGGCCCGGAATGAACTTGATATGAAACCATGAGCCCGCCCAGAGCGAGCTACGGATCCCTGTTGCTTTAGAGCTCCATCATTCCTCATCCCCAGAATCAAAGTGAACAAAACACCCAATACCCAAAACACAAGAATCACCAATTCTTCAGATTCCACTCTAATCATAACCCCAGGCTGTTTCTTCTTCAATCCCCAGCAATTACTGAAAGGCAAGAAACAGCCCCTCTAAATTTCAACACATTCGATTTCAAGCCCCCAATAACCCACAAAAAGAATCGATCAATACAACGAAATCGCTTCAAATCCGATCCTGAATCATCTGAATCACCCCAGTTTTGCGCAAAAACAAAAGGCAACGAAAAGGGTGCAGCAAACCCAATACATAAAATCTCAATACCCAGAAGAAAAAAGCAGGCAACAAAAGAAATTCGAAGTAAGTACCCTTTTCCTTACCTGAAACGAGCTTTTGGAACTCTCTTTAACTTTGCCAAAAGAATTAAAAAAAAAAAAAAACAAATCAAATAAAAACAAAAAGAAGCTAAAATTCAAAAGGGAAAATGAAATCCCAAAAGTTTAAATAATGAAATCAATCAAATATAGAACATATTAAGTCGAAAACAGATTAAGAAACGGAATACGGCCAAGAAATCACCGGAAAGGGTCTGAGAAAAAGATCAATCAAGGAGGGAAGAAAAGGGGCATTCGGGTATTCGGATAACGGAGAAGAAGAAGTAATTATCTTGGTTTGGGCAAATAAAAGCGACTCGTTCTTCTCTCTCTCTTCGAGAATTTGATATATTTAATCGCGAAATCAGGGATTTGGGTATTATGAATTTTCTTTCGAACAGCCGAAGTCTCTGAAATCCAATCGCCAATTCCCTCGCACGTCTCACCCTTTTCCCAACCCTATCAATTTCTCTCTCTAGAAACTCAAAAACTAAGAAAGTTATGAACTTTAGGGCCAGGGATGAAAAAACGCTCGTAACAAATGGAGGGTAGAATGGTCATTCAAAATATTTCGAGAATCCTTCCATTTGGACTATAAGGTTAGGTTGGGTTAGACTTCTTTTTACGATCGGGTTGAATTTTGAGATGGTTTACAGGTTAACATTTTTTTTATCGGGTCAACCTATGATCTTACTTTTAAGATTATTACAAAAGTTACGTGTGCAACCGATGTTAGTGGACGTTGTGACTTATGAATGTTCGATACGTATATTTTATAAGATTTTCAGTTATTAACATAACATGTACGGTTGATAAGTATGATATATTTTTAAATGATTTTAAAAAAGAGCAACCCGGCAATCTAACTCAGCTCGTGTAGGTTCTGAAAAAAGAATAAGATCTGATTTTATTATCGGTCCAAATATGTCAATAAAATAACATCTAAGGAATAAATTTTAACATTTAGAAGGGTATAATTGGAATTTTTTAATATATAGAAATAAATTAAAAAAGAAAAATAATAATGAACTGAATCTTGATTTGTTTAGTCTATATAATCAAAATTCAATATTTAAATATTATTTTAAGTTTTTAAAAACATTTTTTAATTTTTAAAAATTAACTTGAATTTTGAAAACACGAGAAACGACAAGGTAAAGTAGTGTTTGTACGTTTAATTTTTAAAATAGAAAAAAAAATGTGAAATAAACTTTAAAATTTTTAGAATTTTAAAAAATTGTCCGTTACGTATCATCGTCAGCCTCACGATTTTAAGACGCGTCTTTTAGAGTTACGTAGTAGAACTGATACTTATTCAGATCCTGTCTTTCTTGAATTTTCTCTTTCGAGTTTTCCCTCAAGAATTCAAGGTAAAGCGAATTCAAAACCATTAGTTGAGAAGGATTTAGATTTAGGATTCAGACAGACTATGAGCTAAAGCAGACAATATCTATTAACGGTGGACTTAAACTATTACAAATGGTATCAAAGTTAGACACCGGACAGTGTGCCAGCGAGGACACTGGACCCCAAAGGTTGGTTGAAGAGAGTAACAAAGCATTCTTTGCAAGGGTGTAGAAACCTCTCCCTAATAAACACGTTTTTAAACCGCGAGGCTAGCGGTGATACGTAACGGACCAAAGTAGACAGTATCTACTCACGGTGGGCTGTGAAAAGATTTAGTATAGATTCCCCCGCTTTTTTGTTTGGCCAAACTATTCCAATTTTAGTCTCTTTCCAAATCACATCCAAAAGCAACATGATTGGATAAGCTACAAGTTGCTGGATCAATGTCCAATCTAACCTACAAAACACATCAACTTGATGAGAAATCATGCACTTGTTCAAAGCATCCAACCTAGGAACATCTTTTTACTTTGAAGCAAAGTTGTGACTAGGCAAGGATATCGTTGCTTGGTTTGTTTTGTTTTGGTTCGGAGGAGGTAAGAAAGGTGCAGTGCCATAAGCCACTGCTAGTAAATATTGTTTTTTTTGGCCGGTTACGTATCGTCGTTAGCCTCACGATTTTAAAACGCGTCTACTAGGGAGAGGTTTCTATACTCTTATAAGGAATGCTTTGTTCTTTTCTCCAACTGATGTGAGATCTCACAATCCACCCCCTTGGAGGCCCAACGTCTTCGCTAGCACACCGCCAGGTGTCTTGACTCAGATACCATTTGTACTACCCTAAACCCACCGCTAGCAGATATTGTCTGCTTTAGCCTATTACGCATCGTTGTCAGCCTCACGATTTTAAAACGCATCTACTAGAGAGAGGTTTCCACACCCTTACAAGTCCAACCGATGTGGGATCTCACAATCTACGCCCCCCCCCCCCCCCCCCCCCCCCCCCCCCCCCCCCCCCCCCCCCCCCCCCCCCCCCCCCCCCCCCCCCCCCCCCCCCCCCCCCCCCCCCCC